ACACACACACACACACACACATGTATGTCTGCATATGTATAAACTCACTATGTAAGGGACAGGTGCATCCAAAAAGTCCAACATGTCATTCGGCAGAACCTGCAAAATATCACTGAAATATTATCTCCGTACTGGAATAGACCTGCCGAAAACACGAGCAACAAAGTCAAATAACGGAACAAGAAATTACAGGCATCAATAAGCTCTGCCAATGATAAGGCCGGATCAAGGGGATAACTGACAGAACAATAGCAGACAAAACACCCTGCACAAGAAACCAACAAAATAAATTGGTATATATAACTAGAATCCAATGCTGCAAAAAATGAAAATCCAAATGATTAACATTAGAAAATACTAATATCTATGACTATGAGTGGTACAACAAGATTGATCAAATTGGGCACATAGATCAATTTCAAATGAAACAATGAAGCGAAGCCAAAGAAACATTCAGCATGAAGATAAATCAGATTATGACAATGCTGTCTTCAATAATATCACAAATATTGCACTTACCAAATTCGAACAAACAATCAAAATCTGTTTCTCCAGTAGGGCCCCTGCAAACAATGTCAGTACCTGTAAAAGATAACAACATTCAACAGTCCATGAGCGTGAGTAGCATATTCAAGGTGACAAGGTCCTGCCCATACTATACTCTAGGTGGAAAACGGAGAATGTTAGTTGCCAACGGCTGATGAACTTACATGTTCCAATCGTAGAGAACCACACAGGCAGGCAATAGCCCATACTGACAAAGCAGCCGCCTCTTCCTCCACCATGAGTTCACTGTGAGCCTGTATGAGAAACGAATTTGCAATGTTAAGGAGGCTTTTGATTATCGAACAGTTGATTGATAGAGTAAGGATAAGTTTTGGGATAGACAGTGGCCAGCCTTATGCAAAACTATTTCCCCCATTGCCTTAGGCCAATGCCTAGAAATTAAATTTTAAAATAAAATACAGTTCAACCAGACCTCCACGAATTCCCAACTTGTATTACAAGATCTCAAATCAATACTCGAACCACCAATGTCTAAAACTGTTTCATCAGGTCTACGATATTGCAGAGGATGCAGGTGGTCCAGAGGGTGAAACTTGATTGTTGAACCGCGCGAAGGACAAGACAATTGGTAATATTCACAAATTATTTGCAAGGATCCCTTGTTGTTTGCCTGTAAAAAGGTAGTCACATCCTTTTATTCACGTGGTTCAAAGTGGCTACGTAGATTGAGTGGCAGGAAGTAAAGTACATCTAGATTTGAAATTCAACCTTGGCCCACTCAAGGATATCCTTTTGCTCACTCAGGTTATGTCGACCAGATGACGAAGCCTCTTCTGTTTCTGCACTATCAAGATCACTTTGGAAGTGCCTATCTTCACTTGAAGAGCCTTGATAACTACATTAAAAGATCATGACGTGTTTCTTAACACCGATTATAAGAAATTGTGAAACTTTAAGGTATCTATTATTCTAAGATTCCGCAAGGAAAATGCTATATTGGCGTAACAAAAGGAAACATGTGGTTTTCAAACCCACTCTTTACGGTTCACAACAAAATACAAGTTTCTAAGATTACACAATATTCCAGAAAAAGTTTCCTGCTAGCACTGTAAATTTAGACTTGATAATAGTACAAATCAACCACTTTAGCATAATTCAAACCCAATAAAGTGAACCCAAAATCTATACAATAGAATAGTACAAAAGCCTATGAAATTCTGTCACACACAACAAAAGGTAATTAATTTAGCATGATATCCTCAAGGAGATGTATGTTATGCAGTATGGTATTTGCAAGAGAAGGAGAATAAAAAAAATGGAATTTAAGACCCTAATCACAATTGATGATCTACCTTGAAGAGGACTCAGAGCTCTCACATTGCTGATACCGTGAAAAAGGTGGTAACGCAGCACTTCGTGAACGCCTATCTAATGACTGATTCTTGGTAGCATTTTCATTAACAGAATAGTTAATTACAAGATCTTCCGAAGAAACTAGTTTCTTAACTTCAGGATCAGGTGGGGTAACACTGTTTCCAAACTCATTCTTTGAGCAGCTGTCTTGGTTAATATTTTGATGATCCTGAGATACATAATCCGTCACCCCCGAGATAGATCCACTTGTGCTTGATTTAGAAGCTTCAGCTGTCCCATTTTCCGGGCTGTTTGCTCCATCCACCAGAGGAGAACCACCAGCTTCTTCATCAACTGTTTCGAACACATCATCGCTCAATGGAGTCTCAAAATTCAAGCTACTAACCTGCTTCGTTAATCGTTCTAACCTCTCTTCCATAAAGATGCTACAAAAAAAAGGTGAAATAACGCATAAGCATGAGCATTGCTAAGAAGATGTTGCTGCATTTTATCTGCTTTTTGGGCAGTCTAAACAAACAAATTCATGTGGATATTGTAATTGTAAAACAAAAAACTACAAACATCGCTTGAATGGCAAGCAACTAAATCTTCACATGGAACATACAATCTTCAAATTTTTTGAATGAAGCGTTCAGCAAAATAAATGTTTAGTTTGAGAAGTGGAATCATCTATTTCAAGGATAAACCAAAATCTATCAGATGCTTCTGGCAATGCTTACGAGAAACAAAATAGTTTATTCTTCTCCTATAGTTTAATTGAATATTCACAAGAATTTTTGCAAACATCCTATATCCGTTCCACTGGGAGATGGATATATGAATTTTGTCATTGCACTGAAAACCAATTATACAGTACGTAAAAATATACACACATACAGTCAACTGTTGCATCATGTGAGATCATGTTACAGTATAGAAAAGAGCCTGGAGTAATTGTCAAAATTTGCAGAAGTAGAGAATTGCATCCCACATATTAGCGAAATGGTATTTACCTATTCAACACGCCAAAATGAAGCTCAAAGAAAGGAAGCCTGGAAAGAATGCAATAACACCGGCGTGTGGTTAAAGTGTAACGATTTAGACCTGAGTACAATGGTAACCCATCTGAAACGGCGGAAATCAATCCTGATGGCTTTTGTATCATTTCTTCAACCAAAACACAGCACCCATAAAGAGTTGAAGCATCAGCTACCTGTGTGCAAAAGATAGAGTTGCAACAATTATTTACAAATAAACACAGATTTCGGCAATGAAAAGACATTCATTCCGATGACTTCGTGACGATACTTGTACCATATTACAAGGTTTACTAAAAAAAAGTAAATCCACAGAAATTAAATACATGGTCCTTCGAAAATGATTTGTGTTTCATAATATGAGAAAGCAAATTTTGCAACACAAGACAAGCTTGGTCCTAAATGCGGAACACAATGACATCATTGGTTTAAGAAGTCTTTGCACCATACAAAGAAGAGGAGTTGAATGACTGAGATGCACATATTGCACAATAACTAGTCCCCCAAATGGACAATGTCCAAGGAAAATTGCTGGAAGATGTGAAATGTTTCCTTGGATTCATACAAAGAGGTGTAAACTAATGTTAAAATTTTAGCAACCCAGACAGCATCATTAAAAAACACATTGCTGAAGCCATGGGATTGATACGTGGTCCATCTTCAAAGTACCCATATTCATAAATCATTCAAAAGCTACACAGAAAAGTAAGCTTTTCAAGAACTTGTTTGATGAAGACACGATGCCATGACATATATAGCAGGAAAAAAAAAAATGTCTCCAGCAAACCTGCAGTCGGAAGACAAAGGACAGATCACTCTGTTTGAGATGCTCCTGTTAAAATAGCACCACCGTGAATAAGCCATCAACAACAGAGTAAAATCATGATGGAATTGTTATACAAGAATCATGAACCTAAAGAGCCTACTAAGATGATAATTATAGACGATGAATCTACAAACAGATGGATACCCTGTCCAGATTTTTTATTTTTGATTATAAAGGAATGCTTTATGCCTTCAATTTCATGTGGTATTGATGATAGACTATTCATCAGGTTGGGAACTGTACTTTTTCAAATTTTAATATCCCGCCTCCCACTACCAAATTTATTAAAAAAAACAAAAAAATATAAGCACAGACGCACAAACAAAAATATAAAAAACAATGGACATGAAGAAGATTGCCTGTTGAGCATCTTCCATAAATTAAATTCTACTAAAAGAGCAACCCATTAAGGTTCAGAATATTTCTCTTGACTTCCTCCTGAGCTACATACAAAATGCAAGCACAAACAGTCAATCCATACCTGCCCAAGGAGTATCTCGTTCAACTCACTCATGGATGGAGTTTTCTCAACAGCATTCACCTAACAATCAAGAGCTGAGATTAGGAACTTGTATCAAGAGAAAGAAGGTAGACATATATTTCTAGATAGTAGATACCAAACACCCTCTAGAGCTGTACAGTTGGACCAGGTATAGTTTCATTGTTTCTTTCTATTTATACGTGTTAGAAATCTGAGTATCAACTGCAATCTTCAGGAATTACGGAGAAATGACCCACAAACAGTTACCGCATAGCACAGTAATTTCTTATAGATACTAAAGCCTGAACGTACCACATTGGTAAGGATACATTATACAGAACAAAGCATACTGTTAGCAACACAGCTTCAGGCTAATAAATTAACTATCTAAAAAAATAATTAAACATCACTTTTACTCGAGAACACACATTCAAATAATTTCATAGAACAAAAAGAAGCAGCAATTCTTTTGTTAGCATTTCAGGTGCTACACAATTATTTAAAAAGAAAAAAAATAGAAAATACCAACGTTTACACTGGAATATAACCATTCACCATACAAGCATCATTTTCCCCGACAGGTGCAAACACCTAACTAAATCCTGCCTTATAGACCACTAACTCTCCGGATGAGGGTAAAGAAAAAGAATTTGTGAGTTAAAATGACCCAGGCCAATTCATGTTGAGCAAATATGGCATTTCACTGCTACCAAATTAACCCACCTCTACTCCTGCAGGAAAGCAGAAAGAAAGTAGATCCTTATATTTAAGAGGTAGCTGTTTTTCCGGAGGATACACAAACAAAACCTGAAGTTCAGACAGAAAGTATCATTAATACAATATACTATCAATTATTAAAATGCGGAAAATGAAAAGAGAAAAAATGAACACCTGTGGTTCAAGATTAGGTTCTATACGAGACTGATGCTGACCTCCGAGTGCATTTCGAAATCTTCCTGGACCTTCAAACTTTCGGGCAAAGTACAGATTTTGAAGGGATTGAACATCAGAAGTAGGAGGAAGTCCCACAACCACCATGCTCTCGAACAGTTTTGATGGCTCCTTCCATACTCTGTGATCCTGCAAACTTTAGCAACACAATGATACACGAAAACCTCAAGGAACAAACTTCATATAGACGATAGCACCAATGCATATTTCCAATTAAGCAATCCTGCTCATATATAAAAATAAATCCAGCGAAGTGGAAGTAGCTGATATGAATAATTGTTTTTACCTGACAAAAAAGAAAACTAATAAATAGATGAAATAAAAATCTAATGAAAAGAGAACCTACCAGTAGCTGTAGTTGGAAGTTTGCCCACTGACGTTTTTGACTAGTAAGTATTTCTGGGTTGTAAGAACTGCTTTTTATTTCAGAAGGACCTGATAGGCCCTTCAATAGCCTCGACACGTGGTGCTGAAGTTTATGAAGCTGGCTGCCACTTTCGTCTTTAGATGAGTACACCACAGAAGGTCGTGGTGAACGAACAGCAGCTGCTGCAGCTGCTACAGCTCGAGCTACATCTTCAGTTGTTTGCATGATAAATGACGCACCCCAACTCGGGCTATCAATCTCTTCATCATTGTTCATCTCCTGAACAACCTTCCTCCTGCAAAAGCAATCCCATAAGAACCCTGAGAAAGGTGGAAAAGGTAAAAAATAAAAAGCTATGTGTTCCTTTTTTTTTCCTCAAATCCATAGTGCCCAGAGACCATAAATAGAAGAACTACGAAAACACGACGAGATTATGAAATATGCATACTGATGATATCAAGACCAGTTCTTTATTAAATAGAAATGCAAAGAATATAGGGAGTTTGTTCGACAACAGACATGCTAAAAATCAACCTTAATTATTCTATATGTAGTATTTCAGAAAATCAATTATTTCAGAGTAATGACTTAAGATCATCAAGTACCAGCTTGCTTTCCTTCATCTTTCCACCCTACCATTCTCTGCCTCAATTAGAATTTCATAAAGACAAATCCAACGTTTAAATCCAGATTTTTACCTAAAAACGTAAAAGCAAAAAAGAAAAGGGAGGAAGGAATTAAAAAATGCAGGAATAAAAAATAACAAGCTACATAAAAATGAAATCATACAAGTAGGTAATACATAATCGTATCCATATACTTAGTAGTGCAATAAAACAGGAACCCACTGGAGCCCAAACACTTGTTGACTGATAATCACCTGAATTTATATCACGACAAGATATGATTTTGAGCTCGGAAAAGAAGACCAAAAACGCCGAGGAGAGTAATTTCCGAAAATTCACGAGCAAGGCCACATCTTCGGACCTCAGGTACGAGGATTAACAAATAAATAGCCGAATCACACGCGATTGGAGCTTAACCCTCCACTCTAGGACTATAATTCACAAATATAATCATCAATAGCAACCTCATAAAGTAAATTCGCAGCAAAATTCCAAAGTGAACCGAAACAATCGAAATAAATCAAACAAAGAAAAGAAAACTGCACGAATCGGACAAAAACAAATTATTAAATAAAAAAAAAA